CTCAGCTTCCCATCTTGGCAATGTGACAATGTGGGAAAATCCATAGAATATCTTCATTCCACGCCATCCCATCGTTCTGATTGCTGTTGACAGATATTATATGATATATTCTTTGCTCTTCCAGTTCTCTAGGATTTTGTTTCCTATCTAAATTTCTCTTTATTGAAGCAAATTCTCAGAATTTTCTCATGAATTGATATCGGTGATAATAATCGGAGTAATTATTTTTGCAGTTATTGTAATTAATCGGGTGAGGTGTGATTGAAGGAAGGGCTGGGAAGCGTTAGAGATGTTTGTCATGTTTGAAGTGGGAACTAATCAGCTTAATGAAGGCAGCAGTGGTGTGATTTAGTAGGACAGTGTTGAAGAACTTGAAGGAGCAGGCCTCTACGTTTTGTGTGAAATTAAGGATGACGTGCTTTTTCCTTGTCTTTTAGATTGCAGTAAGAAAATAACAACTGTTCATATTATACATGTATTTCATAAAAAAGGATCGTCAGTCAGTCCTGAGCAATTTGTCCAAACCAGTGGCCCACCAAAACCAAAAAAAAAAGCTCTCCGTCACTCATCCTCAGCCTCCCTCTCTGTCCTCATCTGTCCTGCCGTCCTGTTACTGCTGACAGACGAGGGTGTGTTTGCTAGCTGGCGTTGTCGTTATCTGTTTACAAGTCAGTGTTTGTTCAGAGCTCGATCATGTTACAGGACGACCCATGCTAGTCTCGGTCACGTTCATACACATGACACACACACACAATCACAGCCCAACAGTAGTCTAGTTTAGAGTGTCAGCTAATCCTCCAGCAGATGCTGAGGCATCAGTCTCCAGCTGAACTCTTTGGTTTTTGGCCCTGTCCTCCCACCACAGCCTCTGGCTTCTCTTTGGCCGCTAGACCTCATAGAATTTCGTTAATCTCATTTGGGTGTTTTGTTTTCACCAAGTTTATCAATGGAGATGTTTTATTCTCCTCTCCTCTCCTTTCCTTTCCTTTCCTTTTCTTTTCTTTTCTTTTCTTTTCTTTTCTTTTTCTTTTCTTTTCTTTTCTTTTCTTTTCTTTTCTTTTCTTTTCTTTTCTTTTCTTTCCTTCTCAGTGCTGTCTTTCCTTTCCTTTCCTTTCCTTTCCTGTCCTTTCTTTTCCTTTCCTTTCCTTTCCTTTTCAGTCCCGTCCTTTCCTTTCCTTTCTTTTCCTTTCCTTTTCTTTTCAGTCCCGTCCTTTCCTTTCCTTTCCTTTCCTTTCCTTTCCTTTCCTTTCCTTTCCTTTCCTTTCCACTTTCCTTGTTGCCTCTCCTCCACTGCTTCTTATTAGTAAAAATGACTCCAGTCCTTTTGGAAAATATGTTCTAAAACTGGTTGATTGGCTGGTGTTTGAGAAGTGTGAGGGGTTCATTTGGAGGCTCTTTATTGACAGAGAGCTACACTAACAAGAACAGTGTATTAGCGGGAGAGATTGTTGACAAGCCAAACTAAACATTCTGCGCTCTCTTTTCCCTCCTGCGCTCCCTCCGTCTGTCAATCAGCTCTTTCTCTCTGACTTTGTTTTTTTCTCTGAGTCCTACTGGCTGTATTAGCTGTCAGTCAGCGCCGCCTTCTCTCAGTGTATCAGTGTTTTATTGTTATATAACATATTTATCTTTAAAGAATGAATTTTGACTAATCCCGTTTGGAAAATTGGCTACACAAGACTCAATAGTGGTATAGCAAAAAATGGAATAGAAATGTGCAGCCTGGGGATTATGTAAACAGGACATGATTATGTAAAGCCCATTAAAAAAACCTGCAATAAAATATACTGGGTAGGCAAGATTTATGAATATGTGACTAAACATTATAGCACTGGGGCAGCAGAATGTAGCGTATTAGCTTTAGGATACATGAAAAATAATTGTCTACAACTTTTTTTTTTAGGTGTCAGTCTGTCCCTAACAGAATAGACAAATCCTAGAGAAGACTTGCTCATGTTGCGTATGTGTGAAATGAAAAATACTTTATTTATCCCAGAAGGGAAATTCAATAATGTGTGTGTATCTTAGAATGTAGGCCGATGTTTTTCCTGAGCAACAGGCTGAAGCGGTGATTTAATGTTGTTTTCATCCTGATATTTCTTCTGTGTCTTCGCATGGTACGTGCATCCATAAATACGTGTGGGTTTGTGAAATGTGCTTTTCCAGCATGACGTGTCGACCGGAGCTCTGAAGGCAGCGCTGGACGGAGTGGTGCAGGAGTGTGTGAGCTTCGTGGGGGTGGACGTCAACATCTGCTCCGAGATGCTGATGAGGTAGACGATGCAGACAGACACACACGGCGCTGTGTAAAAAAACATTCAGGCACTGAAATGTATTTATCAATTAAGTCCAGCAAACAGAGAAACCGGTCATTAATTGGTGAGACCACCCTCTGCCTTAGAACAGGTTCTTCTTGGTACACTCACACACAGCTGTTTAGGGTCCACATAAGATGGTCCGAGCATCCTAAAGAATTCGCCACAGTTCTTCTGTGTTCTTTATGTAATCCAGGACTGACTACTTGATGACAGAACAGGACTCTTTGGTGCCCTTCTTCGTCTTGTTTGCTGAATGTAGTTCTTACAGTCATTGATTTAACCCCTACGATCTTACCTACAACTCTGCTCAGACACTGTAAAGCTACTGTACACTACACAGTGGCAATTTGTCAAATTTGAGTAATTAGGGCCTACATGTTTGATTAGGAAACTGATTTTGAAGAGGGATGATGCAGAAGGCTCCTTGCTGCAAGTTTACAGGATCGGTTGCTGTGTTTGAAACTCCAAAAGTCTAAAAGAGACTATCAGCAGTAGATTATATTTTTAAACTAGAAATGCACCTGGGGCCTGTACGACAAAGCAGGATTTGGGTTAGCGAGGTAACTTCAGGTTAAATCCTGGGTTTTCAGTCCTATGACGGTGGTTCACTTCTTACATCGCCATGGTAACTTACGCTGAACTTACTGCTCCTCGGCGGTAAAGTGAGCCGTTCTGCAGCCAGACGTTTTATGTGCACACGCTCATACTCAGATCAGACAAACCTGGGTTGACTTACTGAGTTGATAACCGCCGTCGTAGGACCGGTTATCCTGAGTGCCGTTGTTAGGGTTAGTCAAGCAGGATATTTTTTAGAGATCCGGGTTGACTACCCCTAACCCTATGTTGATGTCGCTTCATAGTACAGGCCCCTGGTGGCTTATTTTGCTGATGATATGACTTCCAGCTTATATATTTAAAAAAAATAATTAAAAAACCTAAAATATGTGAACATGTTAACAAGATAAAAAACGCTTGATATTTATGGGAGGGGTCTTTAATGACTCTTGCTTCATTTCTGGCCTCAGAATGAAACTGGGATCCATCACATGCCTCCCTGATGTAACTGCAAGACGCATAAAACATCTAAAGAGCTGAAAACTTTGTCACAGTCCTTTATACTGTGTCCTCGCAAACAAATGCATGAGTGCAGACGAGCGCTCTGTCCTGCACACACACACATGCAGGTTCTGAGAAAGAGATGAAATGAGGCTCAGACCCCTGACATACTTTCCCTCAGCCGTCACAACATGGCAAAGCTTCATTCACACTCATGCACGGGCGTGTGCTCGACGCACACACACACACACACACACACACAAACACACAGACAGCATGCCAGCTTTCTGTTTAGACTATGCTTCACACCCTGGCCCCACTTACTGGGCTGACTGGAATCAACAGACAGGATTAGGCATGGTAGACACAGTTACACACATAGAAACATACACACAGACAAGGAAACATTTATATACATGTCATATCATTGGTTAAAAGCGCTGCACACGTGCATTTGTTTGCTGCCACTCCATTCTGTACACACACATATATAGATACGCTCACATACTTTTTTTGTGGTGGACACAAACCGTATAAAATGAGCTGGCATCAGCTGTGAAGCAGGCATCAGGTCATCTGTTTACCTGTCTGCTCTGCAAGTGAGCTTTTTCCACTCCTGCTAGAAGTTAAGCTACACACACCCGCACACGTTAGGCACACACAGACGTGTTGATGACTGAGGTATTATGTGGAGTGTTGACATAGCAGTGTGTTTTAGCACGAGTGAGTCACTGTGGGCATTAACAGAGTCGACCTAATTGAGTTTCAAATCACCTCTCTTCTTTGCTCGGCCTAAACTGGACAAATATACTCACTAAATATTGGCCCGTGTGTGTCTCTTGTGTTTCCAGTGCTTGTTTTAAATGCCAGGTCACGGTCGCTGAATGTGCTCTGTTTGTTTGACAGCGTGCAAAGCAAATACCACAGAACTGCGCGTTATTAGTGATTCTATCTCATTTTTAAACTAAACACTTTTATTTTTATCTGTACTATTTTATTTAATTAGAATGCCAAACAGAGACCTTAGAATTAAACAAAGACGTCAACAAACTTCCAGGAGTTGTTTCAGTAAACAGATGATGTGAGGCATCTTCTCATTTTTTTGTTTTTTATTTGTTGTTTTATCTCTTAGGCATGTAGCGGGACTGAATGCAGGCAGAGCTCGGAGTATTGCAGAGTGGAGAGAGCAGAAAGGTCCCTTCATCAACAGGGAGCAACTCAAACTGGTCAAAGGCATGGGGCCCAAGAGCTACCAGCAGTGTGCTGGCTTCATCAGAATCAACCCTCAAACCCTGCAGAGGTACGTATGAACGCTTTATACACCCACACCCACAGAGACACTCTTCTAAGATGCTTTTGTAGCTATTTCTCATGTAAGGGTTGCCACAGATTCCAAAAACAACTGACTGATGTTTAGGTGTCTGTCCATTCAGGTCATTTTGATTTACTTGCATTGAAGTTTGTTCAAAGCATTAAAAGTGACACTTTAACATTTAAATGTGGTGTCATATGGTGATATCACGTAAAGCAGAGATGGGTCAGAGCAAAGAAGCCTCTCCAGAACCTCGTTAATCCGCACAAAGACAGAGACGGTGTTGAAAAATATTGATGGTGGATTTGCATTATTTTAAACAGAAGCTTTTAATGGAGTGAGTGGTGCAAACAAAACTAATTAGACTCCACCGTATTATGCTCATACACAAACCAGAAATACTCGACTGGGATTCAAGAAACTTTATTGTCACGCCAGCTCACATTTACATGTTTGTGGTACGAAATTAGTACTTAGGTCCCGTTTTTTTTTTTTAAAGCCCAATAAATAATAAGTGTGATGTACAACAGAGGCAAAATATAAGTAAATATACAAGCAATGTAAGTGTAACTAAAGTAAAAATATAAACATTAAAGTAGAAAAACCAAAATTAGCTATGCTTGACACATTTGTGTAAACAGTCAGGTACACTGTATATTGCACTTGTAGGAATGAAAATATTGGACATTAGTTAAAATATTGCACATATGTGGATAAAGTGTTTATTAGTGCATGAGAACATCCACCACCCCCACAAAGTTGCATAAATCTAACCCTGTTATTCCACCGCAGTGCTGCAAGTGTAATATTTTTCAAAGCTTTCTGTGTGGAAATGCAATGAGGTTCACACATTTTTCACTCTATGGTAGGATTTTTCTCTCAAATCACCTCTTCTGCAATATCGATCAGTCCTAAACTATACATTATTGGCATTTATCTTTACAATTGGTAAAAAAGAAAAAGAAAAATGGTTGACCTGTACCGACTACTAGCCAGAAGCTCGATTGGTCTGCTCTGGAAGAATGTTAGTTGCCTCTCTCCTGGCCGCTGGTTTTTGATATTTATCAGACTGGTGACATTGAGAAAGCATTAGATGTGTGACGTTAATGTAGAAGTAAGTATTAACTTCCTGTTGTGAGAGACTGTTGCTTCTTTCAACATTTTAAATTTTTATTTATTTTTTTTTTCTGTGTTATTTTTTTCTTTTTAGGGAAAGCGCTTAATTATTTGAACTTCAGGTCAACTTCTGTCTTAATTTGCAAGTGTTTGATTTGTTGTTTAGTGATGTATTCACATGTTAAAAGTGTTAAAAGTAGAAAATCAGTAAATACTTGTTAAAAATAAAACACCACTGTTTTAGGGTGGAAATAAAACGTAGCTCGTCTGCACGGCTAGATTCCACTAATTTACTGAATCACGCTTGTGATGCACAGTTCTGAATGCGGTACATAAGACTTGGACTACCCTGCACATATAAAATGCATTTCTTTCTTGCCAAAACAGTGTCAAGTCCTCACTTGAGCCTGCAGCAGCAGCAGCACCAGAGAAATCAGCTGCTAAGAAGGGCAAAGGAAAGACCGGTGTCAGCGTACCTACCTCATTTAACCCTCTGGATCAGACCTGCATACATCCAGAGTCCTACCACGTGGCACACAGGTACAGTGCACACAAACACACACACACACACACTTGTGCAGCAGCCTACCCCACTGGCCGAAGCATGTTCAGGCTAAGATGGAGTTGATTTTGACACCATCTCATATGGGGTTGGTTATAGTGGTGGAGGGCTCTGATTTGATTTACGCAGACATGGGATACAAGAGAGGAGGCGTTGGCTTTGTGTGTGTGCGCGTCGGTGCGTGTGTGTCCTTGTGTGAGAAATGATTGTTAGCGCTGCTGATGCTGATATCAAAAGCACATTGAACATCTGCCCAAGACTTCTATGTCCTGTGTGTGTGGGAGAGAGAGAGACAGTCGGACAGACAGAAGGAGAGCGAGCGAGAGCGAGAGCGAGGGTCCTCTCTGCTGCAGCTGTAGTCACTCAACTGTGTTTAGTCTACATAAGTTCTGACACTAGTGGGTTTAAGCATTGCTCCCCTCATGTTGATGTGCCTTTAATGGCCTCCGTACGTACGTGTGTGTGTGTGTGTGTGTGTGCACACACATGCAGATAGATTGATGTTGCTTGTGTGAAACTGTGTTTTTTTTTTTTTTTTCTCGTCGTTCCTACTTCAGCCAAGTGTCCGAGTGTCTTTGCGGATTTATGTGTCTGCGTGTTCAATACTGGGTTGTAAAGTTGTTCATCATAAAGGGTTTGAGGGGTGAGAGGTTTAAAATAAGGGAGCACAAATCACCACCAACTCCTTATTTTTTAATACACCAGCTATTCTTTTCAATTCTTCTCATGCATATCTTTTATTTCCTACACAGCGCGTGCACACACGTCCAAATCCAACCCAGCATATATAGCTTACAATGTTTATGTTCCTGTTTCATTCTTTTTTATTCTCTTTCTCTTAACTGTGTCTTTTATCCTCCGTGATGTTATCTCAGCAAGGAGCCCAAATGCTGCTACGCTCGAATCAAAATTACTCTTGACTGTAAAAATTGACAGTTTAAAGACTTTAAAATGATTTAATGCAACACCTACATTTGTGTTAATTACCTGAATGTTTGCTATTCTAGGAATGGAGGTATGGAATTTAATCTAAAGCAGCAAAAAGGAGTGATATTCTTTGCATCACACACCAAATTTCATCTACTTTTTTTGGCATGTATGTGGCAGAAAAATCACCAGCCTCCAGTGCATCTCCCCTACTTGCCCTTTGTCTGTTCCTCTCTCCCACTCGATCATTAATTTTTCCCCTCATTTCTCAGCAGCCCCCTTATTGTTGTCTGCTTTTCTATTTTTCCCGCTGTTCAGATTTCCTAATCCTGCGTTGGCAAACGTTGTATCCTTTGTTATGACTACTTTATAATCCAGGTCTGGGAATTTGCTCAATTCAGTGTGGATTAATTTCTCACTTGATATAAATACATTTTCTGATGGTCTAAATTCTACATACTCTTGCAGAATTGGAGAAAAAATATATTTTTTTAAAGCCTCCCAACATTTGTCTTGTGGTTTCACAGCATGTTACGCCTCTTTAAATGCTCCAGAAGATGGTCAATGAAGTCTAATGACTAAGTGAAGGAAAAGCTATGCATGTTTGTACTTGCTCTTCCTTCAAAGTTAGACAGCCTGGCGTAAGCTTGAACTTTAAATCAGAGGGTACACCACGCCTCTGCAAAATAGATAATCATGCTTGATGAGCGTGTAGTTGATTTGCCAATTTGGCTGCCTCCTCACATAAACCCTCAACTGTGGTGGTTCGTCTTAATTCAGATGAAAAAAAAACTGCTGTCTTGATGAATTTGTTTGTGGAAAGTGTTCGAATTTAAATAAAAAAACGCATCACAGGTGTGTGACTTCCTGCTCATTGTTTTTAAATCGTTGTGTTATGCTAGGAGCAGCTCTTTTTTGAAATGCTTTCCTCTTGAGGCACATTAACCTCTCTCAAAATCCAAAATCTCAACTTTATCAGATACGAGGGCATCCCTGAGACGCCTCGCTGATCTCCTCCCGTCCTCACCTCCAACTGATGACAACAGACGGCTTCGAGGGGAGGATTGTGAAGGAATGCTGCGTGTGTGTGTTGTTTCTTTATGGTGTATAAGGAATATCATGTTCATCACATTAGTGGAACTGGATCCTCCATTACTGCTCACAGCCCACACATCAACCCCTTTTTGTAACCATATACACACACGCACACACACACAAAAGCAAAGAACACAGACGCAATTTGTCCACCTTTTGTTTCAATAACGGTGGAATTTGTTTGTGAAACTTCTCTGTAAAGGATGTTGTTATTCAGCTGGAGAAGACAGAGTATTTCACAACTAAACATCAATGGAGCGTATCGTTGTGAGTCCCACCCATGACATATTAGCATTAATTTAGTGTGAATCAAAGGGGCTCCACTCTCTGATAAGGAACAGTCAGGGCCCAATATTTCTATAACACGAGGCAGAGTGGGTTCTTGCTGTGGACCTGGATAAAATCTGTATTGTAGCCCACCCAGCCCCGTTTTCACACACACACACACACACACATACACGGTGTTGGTAGTAATTACAGGAGTATGAACCCAACAGTGGTGGGAGGCCTCAGGAGTCCTGGTACCCCTTAAATACTAACATACACCGCTGAAAAATGAGATGGGAGAAACACACACACACACACACACACACACACACACCTGAAAGCAGAACCCACCACATCCTTCATAAGATCTCTCCTCTCCAATCCTAAGTATTTGTTATCACTCAAGTTTAAGAGATGCTCCTTAATTTGATTTGTAAACTGATAGTGTGCTCTGTCTTGAGCCTGTGAATGATTTTGATCACCATTAGAGAACAGTTTGAACTTTTGCCTTTAGTGTAGATGAACACAAGAAGCTGTTTTTTTCAGAATTCCCAGTAAGATAACTGTTTTTTCCTGGCTCGGGACGTGCCTTAGAGGGGGTGACTATGCACAATAATAAGTATGATTGGTCTCAGTATAATAAGGCAATGAATCTATGTTACCTTATTTGACAGAAATCTGTGCACTTCCTGTTATTTCTGACTATGAGATAAACAATAACGATCATTACGCTTCAGTAAATGAAACCCTTGTTAACAAAACTGGTTAAAAAAAAAATCTCTCCATGTATATTTTTTATTCACAATTCTTAACATTTTTGCATTAATGGTTTTCCTTTGGGGGACACCTAAAACCTCACCAAAAATTCTTCCGTGCAGAAAAAAAAGGCAGATTAGTATCTCTGTAAACGTCTCCAAAGGGTTAAAATATGAGCAATGAGACTCAGGATGTAACACTGCTGCTTGTATCTTAGTTGGAAATCAAATATTCCTTCCTGGGCTGCAGCTTATACTCTCAGATGAACAAACTAAGATGTCCAAAATGGATTCTGCTGTCTTAAAACGTATTTGTCAACCTCCTATACCTGGCCGGACTCCAAGCAGGCGGGCTATGTGGTATGTGACTTAGACGGCTAAGCCATCAAGGCACAACTGTTTCTTTTCCTGTAAAGAGATATATGGTTGGAAAGCTAAGAAGCTTTGGGAGACACAGGGGAGAAGACCCCAGCGTTACACAGACATCCATTTTGGTCCAAAGGTGTTGTTTCCTCACCACTAAGCCATTTCTGGCACACACTCAGCTACTATTTTGCACCAATCTCGCTCGCCGGTGTTGAGGGATTGATTCCGCTTGTCTCCCCGTTTTGGACGGTGGATGGTGACTTTGATGGCGGGGGCCTCTCACCTCACAGCTGTCTCGTACATAGTTTGTACACAAGCCGTTTCAAGTTACATCGGCACTGTCCCCGCTACTGCCAAACGAGCATTTCTGAGCAACATTGTGTATGAATCAACTTTGTGTGCGTCCGTGTGTGTTTGCGCGTCCACCTGTTGCGTCCATCACGGGGCGGACAGCTGCGGAGTCTGTTTGGCGTCAGGCTGCCAGTGAGCGACATCAATCACGGACGTTACCCAGCTGGTCCACACATGAACACATGCGTAGACGCAAATGCATTCACATCTATCACCAGCTGTGCCAAGTGCCTACTGTAAATAATATATACAGCATGCACGCTGCACACACACACACACATCTCACGTTTTTCCATAACCTCTATTTGCTACTTTGGCTCCGGTTTGTTACTAAGCCTGTTTAGAGCGCAGGCTAGCTAATTAGTTTGGATTTATATCTCGGGCTCAGTGAATTAGAAATGGTGCGACCTGACTGACTGTCTAGACATGACTGTACATGGTGGGACATTGTGCTCGAATAAAGTGATACAAGTGTGGTTGACAGACAGGCGGTCCGGCCTCGGCACAGTGGAGGCAGTTTCACGAGACGAGGTGTCGGGGCGTTTACAGCCCGCTGTGGGTTTACCTGATTTACCAGGGGGTAAATTAAATATGTATATTTGTACATGTGTGTGTTTTTCAGAACAGAGCGCTCCACCTCGACAGCTCATGACTTTGTGTGCGCTGCTCTCACACCTCAGATCCCGCTCACTTTACCTGCTCGAGCTTATAATGTTTCTTTCCCTCCCTGTTTCCTTCTCCCTCTTTTTTTTCTTCTCCTCGTCATTCTTCCCAGTATGTCATCACTTTTCCTCCCTTCCTCTTTCTTTCACCTGTACTCCATCCTTCAAAGCTGTCAGCGTTTTGTAGTTTTAAAAGTTTAATTTTCACACTCTGTATTTTACATACGTTTTTTTCTTCTTCTTCACACATCTCTTCTCTCCAGATTTCTGTCATTCGTGGGTGGGCATGTGGACCAAATTGGGAGTGCAGGTCTGCGAAACTGTGTGGAGAGCAAGGTTAAGACAAGCTGTGTGGAGGAGCTGGCCCGGACGCTGGACACCACACCTGAGACCCTCAAACTCATCATGGACGGCCTCACGCAGCCTCCCGGGTTCGACATAAGACAGAGTGAGTCTCCCACCACTCACTTTCACACTGTTATACTGATATCAGCTCTTCTTTTTAGCACAGTGTAAGCAAGTAGAGTCAAGATGGAATTTTAATTTGGAAAAACGCTTTGTTAAATCAAAGAATACTGGCAAAAAATTACAAAGGGGAACAAATGTTGCGTATATAAACTCAACATTTCTGCAAATTCTTTTAAAAAAGGCACATTCAAGATCCTGAGAGGAATTAGTGTTTGTATACGTTTGGGTTCGCCGCACACCGTTCAGTTACATGACTGGTAGGGAATATAAACTGAACCGAACCACAGTTGAACTCTATTTTCTTCCGTCTGTTATTTACACGTGTATTTTTGTGCGAAAATCCTGCTACCGAACAACAAAACTGTCACTATTTTGAATCCTAGAAAAATTCCGTACGCTGCAACCCATCAGTCACAGTAACTTCTTAGTCTCTCGTCTTTCCTTCATAATGTCCTTTATAGGTCCCCGCTGACTGATAGAACATCGAACGCGTATTTATCCAGCTCTTTGACTGGTTTGCTAGTTACGGCGCACACCGACTTTCCTTGCCTTCGCTATAATAGGCATGTCTTGGCAGTGTAACTCGATAGGATCTGACAGTGCTGTGGCTTCCTCCCTGTAGCCCAACAATACAAGCAGTATGTTTCTGACAGGGTGTGATGGGTCCAGCAGACTGTGTTGTTGGACAGAGTGTCTTTACAGGCACACACACACACACACACACATTCACAAATGCACAAAGAACTCTGTTTTTCTCCTTAATCTCCAGCTCTGGAGTTCAGGCACATATAAACATACCAATAAAACCGTGCACAGTCACAAACTTTTAGATTTCGCTTTGTTGTGGCTCAAATTTGTTTTCTCAAGAGATTATGACACATTTCTGTCTTTGGCTTTTTCTTTTTTTCCCTCATTGAAAACCCAGGTGCGTGAAATGCAAGGTTCAAGGTCGCGTAATGCAGATACATGGAAGTACAAGTTGCTCAAATCCTGATTAATGTGATGTAAATACTGGTTTATAGGCTGCGACACTGAGAGCTTGAAATCAGAGGATAGTTTGAGCCAACTGCAAGGAAAGTAAATATTTCTGACCCAGTTGTGATTATTGTGTGTGCAACTCCGTACTCATGCATGCATGTAATATTAGGCGTGGTCATTTCTGATGAATAAAATAGCCGATGAGCCTCGTTTTGGCAAAACAAAGAAAGTGAAGAAAACCTTTTACAGAATCATTCCTGTGCCTTTTTTTTATCAAACTCTCCTGTTTCCTACAGTTTCATGTGGAGAGTTAAAAAGTTCAGGCCTGCATACGGCGTTAGTGCTGGCTAACTGTTCTCAAAATTAAGGAACGCAGCTTCAAGGTTCATTCTCAGGTTGGCCCTATTCGGTTGCAGTACACTACGCTTGGCCTCCTAGCCAGTGCTCAGCTGAGTAAACAGATGGGCCGAGGCTACCGCATGAAATCAGTGCTGTGGGGAGGATAATTGGACCAGACTATTTCCTGGAGCGAACGCCTTCCTTGTTTGTGTTAATGTTACAGAGAGGAAAAAGATCTCATGAGCAGGCAAAGTGGAAAGTGGGGTTTGAATAGAACGCTGAGAAATGTGGAAGTATGTACACACAAGTATTGAGTTGCTGTTTGAAATGTAATATCTGTTTGTCGTTTCTGCCCCGCCCTGTGATTCCTCTGCACCCCCCTTCCCCGTCCATCCTCTCAAACATTTCTACCAACTGCCCCCTACCTGATTTTGCCCTCTCCCTCTTCCATCCAGCCACTTCACCTTTTTGCTAATCTCTCTGTTGACTTCTCTCTTTGCCATCCTCAGATTTTGGGCAGGCGGACTTTAAACGGGGCATTGTCTCAATGAGCGATCTGCAGGTGGGCGCGGTGCTGACGGGCCGGGTGGAAAACACGGCTCTGTTCGGGGCTTTCGTAGATATCGGTGTTGGCCGTTCGGGCCTCATCCACAAGAGCAACATCACCCTGGACAAGCTGCCTGTCAGCCAGCGCCGACGCAGCCTGGCTCTGGGACCTGGGGAACGGGTGGAGGTCCGGGTCCTGAGTGTGGACTCTCAGAGGGGACGGATTGGGTTGGACCTGATCAGGGTCTTGCAGTAGACTCTCTTTATTCCCACATTTCACTTTTTATAATTGGACTTGATTTGAGACGAGAAAATTCCACACAAGGCTACTGAGAGACAAATTGCTCCCTGACGCTAGCAGTGACTGTGGATGAGAACTGATACGGTTCTTGCAGGCTGAGCTGACACATTCATTTTAACAGGAAACCTGTTAAAGCGTATAGGAACGGCGCTTTATTTTGCAGTTATGATAACACAATTCAACTGATGTCTGCATTTTCTTCAAGGTCCTGCAGTTTTCAACATGCATGCAAAAATATTTACACCAAACATCCAACATTACAAACAGCTGTTACAAGTCCAGAAACAAAATGAACATTTTAATGGATGTGAAACTTTAGAAACTCACTTCAAGGGAGAAAAAGTTGTATTTATTCTCAGGCTGATTTGGAGTTGTACTTTCCTTGTGACTAAACCTGATTGCTCATTTTCAGTTAAAAATGTTCTTTTTTTTGTCCACTGACCCCGTAGTTAGCGATGTAAACATACTAACATCTACGCTTTGTTAGATGGAACACGTAATTATTTGCACTTTAGTTTTAGCTTTGTACTTGAACTGTTAATTTCTTTTGTAAATGTGATAATCCTTTAATTTTAGCTCTTCAAGGTGAGCTCAAGGTTTGTTCTGTGCTGAACAGTTTGTCCGGTCACACCTTTCTATCACCTGTGCTGTTTGTGGTTTACTGTTCATGTGAAGCCTTAAGAAGCCAAGTGAAGGAGTCGACATGTTATCCTAAACGGATCTTACATTGTACCTTGACATAAAAACCTTTCCGTTATACCCTACACTCTCCATGCTCACTTTCTCAAAACAAAGATTTCCGCAAAATTTTACGCTCAGGAGTCACGTCGGAGCGAGAATGGAAAAGATGGAAGGCGGCGTGAGGCGGGGAGGTGGGAGCAGATGTGTGATGTGATGGAAAAAAAAAAGAAAAGAGGAAAGAACACAGCAGTTAAAGAACAAGTTTTTCTTCCAGACAACAGGAAAATGTGAAGAAAAAAAAACCATAATGAGAGGATGAGAGGGGCTGGGGGGGCGGGTGGAGACGGGGATGGTAGGAGGAGGAGGAGGTGGGAGTGTTTCTATCTCCCAGACTGCAGTAAAGCCTGAAGGCTTTTTAGGGCATGGTCCCAGACACAATCATCCCATGACACACACACACACACACACACACACACACACACACACACACTAATCAGCTGCTTCAAAATTAATCCCAGACTCCCCATCCACATTATCTAATTTGTTTGTTTTTATGAAACTGGAATAAATAAAAAATAAAAAAAAAACATACATAAAATATGGTTCTGAGAAAGCCCCGGGTCCCCCGTGCTAAACCTTATACTGGATGCAGAATACCTAATCACTCTTAGTGCTGCTGCTGCTCCGCTATCTCCCCCCGGGCGCACAAATGTTATATATTCTAGACACACAAACACAAAGAGATGTTCGATCAGGATTAATGATTTGTGGCAGTTTTGCTCGGCGATGATCTGAGAACAGATTCACATACTGTATTTCATCGTCTTTCTATACGCATTCAGTTTAGTTTTTTGTTGAGAAATTCCTGCTTAATCAAGGTGCCTCGTTCCGTTTGACGCTAACTCTTCTTGTCATTTTGTTATCTTGTGTTTGTTTTGATCTCATATCCTGTAGCTCGGCGCAGCCTCTCGTGTTTTTTTTTTTATGTTTCCAGCGTTTTTTGGAACACATGTATTGGTAGAAAGCACACACAGCTTCCCTCAGCACCATTCCTGCTTTTCCCGCCTTTAATTTTCCTCCCTCTACTAAACGTGAGCACACAGATGGGACAGGCAATCTGGCAGCCAGCTACCGCTACCCCATGGAGTTTTTGTCAAACACTGACCAGTAATGAGCCGGCGATAAGAAGCAGAGTAACCGCGGGAGGAGTTGTGTACTTCTCTGTTGTCCTCTGCTGCACCGGCTCTCGGCTGTTGTGTTACGAAGTGAGCTCAGGTGTGCCTTGAGGTTTCGGTGAAATGTGAAGAAAATTGATGGTAAGCAAGCGATTAAATGAGTGTCACACTCATAAAAACACGCTTTTGTTCTTTTATAAGTCACGGGCTATTAAAAGTCAAATTAACAAAGAAAAACATCCCAAGTGGTCACGCGGGGTTCCCTTTTGTTGTCTCTTGTTCAGCCACCGAGACTCAGGTGGATAGAAAATCGTCTTAACTTTTCTTTCACACAGGAGCAGAGAGAATAGTTCTCACAGCCAGTAAGTGCGTCCTGCTAAGCAAGCATCGAGTGGAGAATATAGCTTTCTCTGTTGAGCTCGGATTTCTCAGACCACCTGTCAAAAAAAGGTATTAGAGGTCTGAAGCTCTGCGAACAGGCTGCAGTGCTGTCTGGTGTAAAAAGTACAAAAAGAAAGTTTGGTGTGATGGCAAAAGCCAAAGAGGATTTAGTCCTTCAGCTCCGCAAATTTCAAGGCAAGTAAACTCTGATTACGATACACGTTGTGGGGATCAGTTCGATATATTTCTGGAGACGTCCGAAACTTTTAAGAGTCCAGTTTTGCAGCACAATATCAACACTGACCACTACATAGGCATTTTTTTTCCCCTTTCTTACTATTTAAAGTCTTATTTCATCGTAGTGCTGCGTTCTGTTCTCTCTTTCTCTCACACTTTGACAACGCTCTGATTTAAAACAAGAGCGGAAGGAACAGTTGTTGCTGTTGGCTTTTACCCCAGAATAGAATCTGTGGACTCGGCCGATGATATTCGTCCAATAGCCCAACCCTAATATCCACACAAATCACAGAGATGTTCAGTGTTGGAAGGGAGGAAGGGATTGCTAATGTGTTACCAAAATAGCTTTATATTTACCGCTAAACAGTCATCAGCTGTCAGTGCAGGAGGTGTCGGCCATTTTTGATTCCATCCCGTTCCTGCTTTAGCGTCAGAGATACTATAGAACGGTATATTGCAGTATTTAGATGTCTGTTTTATTTACTAGGTGATGCATACAAAACAGTTAGACATTAAGAATCATCTCTTCATATCCACAGTAACATCAGCCTCTTTTCATCTCCTTTCCTCTGTTGGTCGGCGGTTATCATCGCCACACTGTGATTGCAAAGCCTTAGTGCTGGTTTCCTCCAGCAGAAGATAACTCAGGGTTAGCAGCAGCAGTGCCACAACTCACTCACTCCGGTTCTCCGTTTTTTTGTTTTGTGAGAAAAGCAGTGTGTCTACTTCCAGTCTGTGGTCAGACTCACATGTTGACTCTCAACATCTGGTGATGGACTTGGCAATCCGCTGAGCCCAAACCCACTGTTTAGCAAACTTCCATGAATCGGGGCCCTGTGGAACAATAAGCTACAACCCACTGTATTAGCTTCAAATATTTGTGTGTGTGCTTTTTTCAAACATGTCCAGAGTTTGGTCATGCAGATTGCTCAATTTAAATCTTTTGTTTTGTCAAGTTTCAGTAATTTCAGCTTTGGAAGAGGGCAGCATTGTTAAAGAAATTCTACAATGTTTGCAAAAACCCATGTGTAGGTCTGAGTGAGTGTGTCCTTGTGTTTTTGGATATAATTTCCAGCCTGTATGTGATTTACTTTAAATCGCTTTAGAGTTGCAACAATCGGTCAACTAACTGGTTGGTTAAGTAACAGAAAATAGCGAATCAATTAAGTGATTACATGTTCAAGTCAATTTTAAAGCCAAAATTAATGGATTACAAACTGTTATTTGTGTGGCTCTTCTGCTTTTCTCTGTTTAAATGATTGCAAGCTGAACATCTTCGGATTGTCATTACATTTAATCATGTCATCTCGGGTTTCTGGACTATTTTTTAAAAATAGTTTTCTGATATTTGACACACTTTGTACGAGCTGCTGCGTTTTAAAGAAAGGCAGTCCGACAGCGTAACATGACAGAAACGCATAGCCATTACACTGCGCTACATGTGCGAGCACATTAGTGGTAAAAACCAGATCACAAGTGAAGGAGTTTTAATGTGAGAACCCAAAATTACATTTTCTAGACTCATTTGTCAAAAGCTGAACGCAAACCTCAGTCAGATTTTTAAAAAACAAAACTCTCTCTCTCGTATTCTCGTTTTCCGCTGTTAGGTGACACAGTGAAAAATTCCAGATAGCCAGAGGGGCGAGAAAGACTCTGACTTTTGGCATCAGCGGTGAAAAACAGGAGTGCAGTATAGACAGGAGTGTGGAGGAGAGATGGATGAATGGAGGTAGGAGAGAGAGGGATGGAATGAGACAGGAAATGAAAGGCTTTCTCCGGTTTCACTCCCCGTGACCTCATCAGTGTGATCATGGGTTTTATGAGCTTTCCCTCTCGACGCCCACACACCACCTCACACGTGCCAGGACACACACACACACACACACACAGTCACACAGTCACACACACACTTCAGGCCCTATATTTCATTCACTGGCCGAGAGACAAACGCACAGTACATGTGTTTTTGTCTCTCTGTCTGTTCCTTTTCTCACACTCTCTCCGTCAACCTTTCACGTACTTTGTCACACACAAGGAAGTTCAAAAAAGCTGACGTTCGCTTAGAGCCGCTGATACGCAAACGCCGACAGCGAGAAGAAAATTTGTCTTGATTATTGATTGCGTTAGCCAATATAGGGAGAGTATGAGGCTCTTTGTAGAGAAATAAAACATTTACGTAACCCCCCCAGCATAAGCTCTCCTGAGCACACGGACACATTGAAGCACTGCAGGTGTTCCAGGGGGAAGCTTTATGCGTAACATCTCACCAACAACGCTTGTGAAGGCTTCCCCAGTAGAGCTGACAGATAAATGGCTGGAATGAGCAAGCATCTGATTAGTAGCAGTAAATGAAATGTCCTTGGAGAAAAATGAATCTCCGGTGTGCTTTTCTTTCTTTCCTGTGGTTCATCTCTTCTGCAGATACTCATCCCCCAACTTTTTGTTAACCATTTTTCTCACCACTTATCTCCCCAAAGTGGGTAATGCCTCCAGAGTGTGTGTTTATTTTAATCAGCATGAAATCTTGGTAGAGTGGAAAAGCAGAGGAAGGCAACCCAATGACGGGGTATGTCAAGAGAAAAGCCCCGTTAGCAGGGATCTCAATCTGAGTCAATATTTTCATAGGTGCCAGGTGTTCACGAGCCATCTTCCACAGCTTCATATGCAGTTATAGTATAGTATTCATTGTACTTTGATTACGTTCGTCTTTGTTTTTGCATCATCACAGTATTTAAAGACTCTGTGCACAGAATAGAGACACACAAAGCAAAGGTTAGTGTCGCTCTGCCAGATATTCCAGCGTCAGCATGATGGAGGAGTCTCAAGTCCTTTTCAGAAGTTCTTTCCTTTAGTCTGACAGCATCTGAACATGTCGGCCTCATGTCTCAGTGAGCAACCTGGCTGCATTTCTGTAAGACCAAGCAACATTTACGTATGACTCTCAGATCATCACAAGTTCGAACTTAGAGCCATTGTGTTAACGATTAGGCATGAGTAGTCGAGCTGCATGGAGAGATTTAGTTTTTCCACATTTCAGCTCCTTGTTATTGGTCCAAAAGACATAATAATGTGCTTCAAAATTCATAAAACACCTTTCTCATTCACTTTGCCCCACAATTTAACACCCATTACCAACTAAAATGTCCATAAAAATGAAGCATTAATGTGACAGAACAAGTCACTTTGATGACATTCACCTTTAATTAATATAATCCAACAAGAGGAGCTGTTTGTAGGAGTCTGTCCTTTGAGTTTATTAAATATATGCAGCATCAAAATAAAGAAAACAG